TAGTTCGAACTACCTAGCCCGTGCCGCGTGTAGCCGCGCAGCACGGGGTTCGAACAAGCCGGCATTTAAAAATGGCGCCGGCCGGCTTATGCAAATGAAGCCCGGGAAATTCAAATCCCGGGCTTCATTTGCACTAAGGGTATGTCTACACTACCCCGCTAGTTCGAACTAGCGGGGTAGTGTAGACATACCCCATGAGAGGTCACCTAATGCTTGAGATGGAGTATGTGGGTCAACAACCTCCCTTTTCAGGCACAATGGAACTTTTTATCATAATGGAAAAACTCATCTGTGAAAGAATTTTCTTGAGGGTGCAGCTAAGACTATGATATAAACTTTCCTAGGAACTAAGAATAATGAGAAATCCCACCACCTTCTGCTCCACGTGCAAGGTGCTTGTTGTGTACCTGGCCTTCCCTAATATAAACACATACAGCATGTACATTTAAAAGTAAAAAACTGCTGAACACATAATTATCTCCTGGGAAGAGGAGAACATAAGAAAGAATAAATCATGGTGACCCATGCTAAGTCATTTAATACCTAACTGGAAGGCACTCAGATACTCTAGTAATCTAAAGTGAGGGTGGTATAAAATCTACATAGAATATAGATTTCTGTCCGCAATTATGGATTATTTTTTCTGCTGGGTTATTCATGATGACTGTGGATATGTTGATTCATGGTTGAAGCTGCGTTTCAGGGGTGGTCTGGATTCTGATTTCATAACTAAGAATTGTCAGCCAGTGCTTCCAGCAGTGACTAGCGCTTCCTTTTTAATGGATGTGTGTACATGCCTAAATGATAATACATTATTTGTAAATGTACACAATAAAACTGAGGCCCATTGGGAAAAAAAATCAGGCCCTTTTGTCCTGATACAGCACTTAATTTGGAAAGATTCCAAAACATACCATGAAACACACATATCCAGCACTCATGAAGTACCTCTGCCTCTCTGATAGAGGGGGCGGGCACTCAGGTCTCAAAAGGGAAGGGGGAGTTTTGGCCATGGTCACCAGCAAAACCCCTATCCTTACAAAGAATGCAGTGCTCACCCAAAGCAGACTGAAGCCCAGACTGGAAGAACCTCTAGCTTAACTCAGCAAATGACGTGGAAATCACCTTTATCTACCTCAGAAGAATGAAGGGCTAACTTGACAGTGACTCAGTCTGATCCTGATTCCTAAGGCTGGATTTAATGAGTCTAAGGTATTTTTGAACCAGATACTTGACCCACTAGTACTTGCTACGCATGCTGGCAGAAGAGAAACAAAGCTAGATAGTATCATTAATAATGAAACCCAGAACTTTGGGAAAAGAAAACATACAATTTAAGTGAAATTCAAACAACTCAGGAGGGTGCCCTCTATTTGCAGGGCTAACCAAAGTTCTACTGCATTTACTTAAGGCCTTTATTCTTCAGCAGTAAGCACTTTTTGCTTCCCCTCTGCTTCAATATGCTATTGTGCTCAGATTTCGGCCTTTTTATCCTCTGCCCATTTCAACCGTGGTCTGGGACCTGCTGTGAAACCACTGAAGGAGATGGGCCACACTAGTGCTTCGGTGGTGCTTGGGAGCTCAGATTTCCTGACTCTTGTCCTGCTGCGCACATACAAAGGAGTAAGACTGCTTTGTTTTATTATTAGGTCTAGATTTCCATAAAATAATAAGTTGATGATGATTGTGGGCCAGACAGTGGCCAGGTTTGCACCACAGATTTAAGGGATATATGTGAGTAGAAATGTAGGGAGCACAATAGCTTCTATAGGGTTGCTATGCTGTGTCCCCTGCATTCATCATAGAGAGCAGCTCCACATCTGCTCTCCATCCTCTCCCCCCAAAAAAGAGCTGAGCAGTGCAGTTATGCCATTGCACTGAGGGAAGTATCTTGTGCCACAGACTTGACAGGCACAGGGTTCTTGGACTACAAAGGAGGATGTACATAAGAGACCACTTGTGTCCAAATAGTCACAATCTGTCTTTGGGTTTGCCCCAGAGATGGTGCAAGAACCTTCAGACTTGGGCTTGTGGGAAAGCCAAAACTGAGCCCTGTCTATGTTTGCTGTGCACTTGGTGGCCATAATCCTGGAACCTTTGGGCAATAATGCAACATAAATATTAACTAATAATAAAAATAATATTCTTGTTTATCCTTGTGTTTGACTCTTAGATTCAGGAACTCTTTGTGGATCTCAATTTGCATGGTGCACGGGTCATGTTTGTGGCCAGCCACTGCCTGGTCTCAGGCTAGATCAAACGAGGGTAGTGTCTTTGAGGGTGGTTTTTTAGGGATCTGCTTGGTCAGTAGGTGGATATGTAATACAGGGTGATGTTTTGAGTATGTAATGAGCAGAGATGCCATGGCAATTACACAAATTATTCAGCGACTATTAGAGCTGATCAAAATGCTATTTTGTTTAATCTTTTTGAAAAAATGCCATTGAGATTTCAAAAACAAAAATGTATCATTCCATTTTTCCCATTTTCAAAATAGAATTTCAAAAATGAACTTTTGGTTAGTCTCACCACATGGTGAGTTTCCTCCTCTCCTCTCTCCTCTGCAATAATCCATATTGACTTAAAAATTACTTTCAATAATTTATTTGAAAGCAGAAAACAACATTTTTCTGATGACATTTCTTATAATGTCACAAAATCTTTTGAAAACTATGTTTTTGTAACAAACAAAATAATATTAAAATGCATTTGAAAAAATCTCAATCAGCTTTAATAAGTACTAACTATAAACACAATATAATTTTTCTCCATTAATAATGTATGTTTATATACATATGTACACACATACAGGTTCTTGAAGAGAGAATGAAATTGGAATGCAAGTGTCATGGCGTTTCAGGTTCCTGTACAACTAAGACCTGCTGGACCACACTTCCAAAATTCAGAGAGATTGGATATATTCTGAAAGAAAAGTACAATGCTGCAGTACAAGTGGAGGTGGTACGGGCCAGTCGACTACGACAGCCAACCTTCCTGAAGATAAAGCAGATGAGGAGTTATCAGAAACCAATGGAAACAGATCTGGTGTATATCGAAAAGTCTCCCAACTACTGTGAGGAAGATGCTTCCACGGGGAGCGTGGGTACCCAGGGACGACTCTGTAACCGTACGTCTCCTAATGCAGACGGGTGTGACATGATGTGTTGTGGAAGGGGTTACAACACACACCAGTACACAAAAGTGTGGCAGTGTAATTGCAAATTCCACTGGTGCTGCTTTGTGAAGTGCAACACGTGCAGTGAGCGGACAGAGGTGTTCACCTGCAAATAGTGGCATATGTTTAAATAAACAGAACAAATCACCACATGTGAAGAAAGTGGAGTATGACAGACAACTACAGCATCATTTTGCACATCTATTTTTCTTTGGGAAAATAAGTCTCTCCCCACCTCTTACACTTCTAAGGATGATGCATTTTGGGCTGGCTGGCCGTTGTGACTGCAATGGAAATAAGGGCAACAGGATTAAGGTGATGTTGACAAACACATGCTACTTTTTCTTTTGTTTGTTTTTTACTGAAATTTGGGTGTTATAGAGTTTTCCTATTAGATTTTTAAGTTATACATATCAAAGAAGCTGACTGAATTACAGATCCCAGGAGAGTTAAGGAAAAGACACTTTTTTTCATATTTTAGAAAAAAAACAAACAACAAATTTGAAAACCTGTGCAAATAAGACTTTTTAAAGACAATGAAATGTTCATTGAAAAAACAGCAGCATTGCTGCACATATTAATTTTTTAAAAAGCAGGTAAAGCAAAAACAAACTGATAGTGAGGCAAAAATATTAAAATGGAAAAAAACCACAATCCATTTGAAAAATAAAGTTCACAAACTTACGTCAGCTGCCAGTGACACTGGAACTCTATGAATGAACATTACAAATTATTATTTATGTTTTTAATAGTATCAAAAAATTCTAAGCACTAACGGGTAGCTATGTCTTAATTCTGTACTAAATGTAAACTTATTGGAACTCTGACTTTTTGATTTTTGTATTTGGTTCTCCCTAAGTTCTTTAATGCTACTGATCTATTGTCACTCCACTACTAGAGAGTTCAATTACTGTAGGCCTTAAGCAATGATCAGAATTGAGCAATAACATCATGCAAAACTGTGGTTACAAATGCTTGATACAAGTGGTTTCCTGCTCATCCCTGAATAAGAACTAGCATTAAGATTCAGAGTTGGGGCAGGGAGCACCTGTTTTCATCTTGGCATGGGTAATTTTAAGGCACAGAGACATGCTTCAACAGGTATTAAAGGTTTTGCTTTGAAGAGAAGTCCCATAGCAGGATCTTTCAAACAATTATACTTCTTTGCAAATTTTACAACATCCAGTAGGGCTGACAGCTATAGCAGGCCCCAGGACAAGATGTGGGGGGACCCAGGCTCCGGGGTCCCAGAAAGGGTGGGTCTGAGAGCAGTCAGCCCTTAGCACCACCCAGCCCGCAGTGCACCCTTTCTAACCCTTCCCCTCCCCCCACCGAACCATGTGGAGGAGCGCTTCTGCTCTCCTACGGCAAATCAAGGGGTCCCAGTGCTCTAGTTGCTGGGCCCCAAGGCAACTGCCTCCTTTCCATCCCCCTTTCCCGTCAGCAAACCTGACAACATCCTATTTTGAAAGCGTTTACGCTCGCCCCGCTAAGAAATTAATAAAAATAGGTTAGCTGTACTCCATGCTGCTTTGACCTCTGACTCATGGCGGCTTCATTAGCATACCACACAAAGCTAATACATTGCTGATTAGTTAGCCTGGGTTACTTTTTTTAAGTCATCATTATTCTAAGCTTGACAACTACATGTTACCCCCACTCCACTAGTAAATATTTAGAATGTTAAGAAGTTGGATCTTTATACCTATGTTCAACTCTAACTCACACTCCCTGTTCCCTACATGGAATATTAAAAAAAAAAAAATCTCTGTTCAGAATAGGGTTGTAAATCACAGCAAATTTAATCCCAAGAGCCAGATATTCCCAGCAGCAATAAAACTGCTCCCATCACACAGCAAGTGTAATTTTCTAGCAAGTGCCGCTACCTGGCTGGCAGGAAACAGACGAAATATTGTCTAGTTACTGAAATCTGGACCTTCAGCCATGTTTTCTAAAGAGTCATCTACCAATTACTCCTAAAATTTTGGGCCTACATTTTCAAAAGTGACCAGTGATTTTGAATACTGCCTTGAGACCCCAAAAGGGAGGTGACTTTCAGGTGTTGGTCACTCCCTCCCCTTGGAAAATTAGGCCCCTTTCAAAGAATGTTCAGTGGAGAACCCAGCAATTGAGGCACCTAGAATCACTTTTGAAAATCCCAGCCCATGGTCTAAATGCAGCTTTCGGAAAAAAAATTAACACAACTCCATTGAAGTGGCTGCCCCCATTCATGCCAGAACCATGCTATACAATTTAACGTCCCTTTTGATTCATGAGTATTGTTGTTGAACAATAATTATATACTGTACTTTCAGCTCATTTTTTACAAGAAGCAAATAAAGCTCCCATGCACAGTAATGCACAGTTATATGGTACTAGATATTGTAAATATATTAGAATAGTATTTGTTAAGTACAATTGAGGAATCCAATTAAGTTATTGTATATCGTTTAAATGTCTATAGAGTATTTTAAATTATTGTGAACTACACTGAGTAAAAAATATATATATTATAACACCAACCACCCCAAAAAGTGGACCAAAATGAAACTCTCTCATCCATCCATCCCTCCCCCCACCCCCATTTTAAATAGTTAAGTCAGCTATTCTTCATGTTGATCTTTCTACTGTGGATTTGTCAGATCATCCTATAGAAGTTTTGCTCATTTGCGGTGGGGTGTTCAGAGAGGTTCTATACAGCACAAAACGGGCTGACCACAACAGTGCATGGACTTTGCTCTATGTATAGAGAAAAAATAGTTTAAATGTGTTTTGGTCAGAAAGCACCACTGCCCATACTGAACTGAAACACGCAAAAAATGACATCAAATCTATTAAGGTGTTCACAAAAGCAAATAGCTTACAAATAACCTTCCTTGAAATAAAAAAGTAGTTCAATGTCAAAGACCTGTGATAAAAGGTTTGAATGCTACCAGCAACACAACATGGTTTACAGTAACTTACAATGACAGAGCTCAAAATACTGTATGTTGTTAAAGAGTTTAAGAACAAAGATCAATTTGTTTACTATGTTAATGTTGTATAGCAAACAAAAAAAATATGAAACATGTTTCCATTAAAACTTAACTCTCCCCCTTCTAGACTCTCCCTTTTTTTGTTTTTGTTTTTTGTTTTGTTTACTTATCAACCCTTTTAAAGCATTTAAAAACATGTGTAATAGTCATTTGGGTTAAGGCTTTTTTGTCAATGGTGCACTCTATGCTTCCCAAGTCTACAGCAGCTGTATGCATATGGGTCAAGAAATTAATGGAAGTTGCTTGCACTGCCCTACAAAGTCCTTTACTGCAGATGAGTGAACATGTGAAGATAATGAGGAACATGTAAGAGACCTGCGAATATTGTATGTCCTGTTACAATGAAGGACTTTAAAGTCAATAGGACGAGTCACATGCTTAAAATTACATTAACATACTTAGTTATCTTGCTGAATCAGGATTCAAGAGATGCTTTTATAACATTAAACCTGTGACACTGAGTAGAAGAGAAATAATCTTCTCAATGCATATGCCATTTGTATCTTTTCTTGTACTACATTTAGACAGTATGGTTTGTTAAAATATTTTTCCCTTCAGGAAAGACATCTAGCTACATATATAGCCAAAGTCTGTATAAACTAAAACCAGAGTAACTTCATTGAAACAAATCAATTTACTCTAGGTTTACACCAGTTTAAATGTAAGCAGAATTTTATCCCCAGATAAGAGAGAGAATATTGTACCTTTCAACTATATTATGGGAAACTTAACAGAATCATATGAAACTTTCTTAGTAAAATTATAATAATTAAATTTCCAAAACAAATCTGGAAAGTATATTAATCTCATCAGAAGGTTTGAAAATCTTTTAACAAACCTAAAACAAGATGTGAGTGGAAGCCACAGGAAACCATAAAATTCCAATCACATTTTACAGAGATTTTTTTATTTGGTCAAACTTTATAACACAAAGGGTAAGTCTACACTGCAGAGGAGATCAAAGCTACTGCTGTCGATCTTCCAGGGTTCGAATTAGCGATCTAGTTAAGACAGCTAATTCTAAGTGAGAGGGGCACGCCAGTTGATGCCGGTAACCCTACTTTCATGAGGAGTAAGGGAAGTCAAAAGAAGAGTGTAGAGTCTTCCTTCTGTGTAGAAAGTGCCAAAAGTCGAGTTAAGCTACTTCGTCTTCAGCTATGCAATTGATGTAGCTCAAGTTAAGTATCTTAATTCGACTTCGTCCCGTAATGTAGACATACCCAAAGTGATATTGGGTGTGAGATGAAGGTCACAGAATAAAAATCTGAGTTCCACAGAAATATGCTTCTTCAAAACTTGAAATAATTTGCCAACATGGCAATTATCATAGCAGGGCAGAATGACTGCACATTCCACTTTTGATCATGAAGAGGTATTCTTGTAATGACTGTGCCCAGAATGAACATGGAAAACACCCAGAATTCTTTTGTCAGAATCAGAGCAACAGATGAGGATGAAGCATACATATATGCAAACTAATTCTAGGAGCAAAGAGAGAACGTTGTTATACAATATTGGAAGTTCACGATACTGGTTTTGCCAGATGCTTACTGCATACAGAACACAGCATGTGCAGAACTCAAATACAGAGTTTTTTCCTCAATGGAAAGCCCCTATTTTGTATCTCTGAAAACTCAATGTTTTCATTTCAAAAATCAGGCCCAGACAAAATTGGCAAGTCTATTGCTCTTGGTGCTTGAGCTGGTGTCAAGAAACTGGACAGATTTCTTACTGATATGAAAAGGATGAAGTTGGGGCTTTCTTTATTAATTTCATTTTTTATTCTTTATGGCCTTTTCAAATAAACGTGTGGGTTCATTTTGTAAAGGTCCCTCTCTCTGTATACAGTATGTACATACACACACACACACAAATTATTATTTTTTGTTCAATCTAGAATAGAGCCTGCAGTTTTTATTTACTCCATGGCTGCTGGTGGTGATCAGCTCCACAGGATACCAAAGCAGAAGAAATAACACTGCTGGAAATTTCAGCATTAACATCTAAAAACAACCATTTTTTAATAATATACATTATTTCCAATGTCAGTGATGCACTAGCTTTTGGAGACGTCAGCGCCTGATTCTCATTTACATTGCTCCATCCATGTAAGAGGGCCTTGACATCCGTGTAATACACTCCTACCTGAAGTCTGTTTAGACTAAAGGGACCATACAGTAAAAGATGATCAGGATTTATAGAGGCTAAATAATAGACTGGTGAATATGCATATATTATTTTATATTTGGTCCAAACCAAATCCAAAATACCACTGACTTTGGGAATATTTGGATCCAGAGCCAAACTTTCTGCCTCCAGCTCCTGTTTGACATGTATTTATAAACATTTGTTTGTTTAGCAGTCTAAAAACTACTAATATTTTTAGCCCTGATCCTGTAATTGCATCCACATGTGTGCAAGCCACCCCCTCCCTGCACGCAGACCTGATTACAGTATAGGGGTCTTAATGATTAACTCAGGCAGCTGTGAATGAAAAGGAGCCCTCATCACCCCAATGAAAGAACATTATTTTATTCTACACATGCACCTCTCCTGGGTGTTTATTTTCTTTAGATTTCTAGTACTACTTTGAATTTCTTGGTGTACATCTTATTAACATACATGTTTGTTTATTATTATTTGTATACATTACTTATACTGTTGCAGCAACTAGAAGCTATAGACATGGCCCAGGAGTCCAGTTGTTTCAGGTGCTATACAAACACAATACAAAAAAAGATAGGTGTGACCCAAAGAGCTTACAATCTAAATTAATTAATCATTAATAATTAATATTAATATTAGTATTATTGATTCTGGCTGTGCCCATACATGTCTGGTTATGTGATTTCCTTTTATTTCAACCTACTCTTGTGTCTTCCTTCTATCCTGTATCCTTGAGCAAGACTCATACAAATAATTCAAGGATATATTTGGGAGTTGGACCAATACTCACTTAGACAATAAGACACTGTTCTTAAATGCGATTTGCATTTAATTGCAAGGATTTGACCTGAATGAAAAAAATTGATCCGAATGAGTAAATGCTTAATTAGTATTGTGGCAATTAGAAGCAATCTAACATAAGCTTAATGCTTCTCTAGGTACTATTTCTGAGCATTCTCATGTTGCTTTAGTTTATCTGCATTTTCATGAACACACCAGACTGTTAAAATCCCAGTTGTTAAACACCCAGGCATCAGCTATATCCAGTAACTTGCATGGGCTGCATCCTGCCATTGGACTCTAGGTTGGCCTATAACCCAAACATGTTAAAAAGACAGTGTGTTACTAAGACTTAAAGGTAATGGAAGATTTTACCTTGTTTCTTTTTATGAATTATTTTTATAGCAGAATTGTGAAGATAATAGTTACATATTATTGACACTACTGTTCACTGCACATCAACTCTTCTAGCACTTCTTTGAGTTGGTAAATATTATTCAAGATGAAAAATAGACATGGGGGGTACATCTACACTGCATCTGTAGCTCGAAATAAGCTACTCATTTGATTTATGCAAGTTGCATAGCTTATTTCAAGTCAAGTTCAAAATAGCTTATTTTGAAATGCGGTGCTGTCTACACAGCACTTATTTCAAAATAAAGCGCTATTCTGAAGTGTCCCTTACACCTTGTGGAATGAGGTTTACAGGGACATTGGAATAGTGAGCCAGTTAAATTTCAAAATATTGGGCACACTCAAAAGACACAGAATAGCTATTTCAGGATACTCTACTACAGTGTAGATGTAGCCCAAGAAGCTTAAGGGCTCAGGTACAGCTTTTTTATTGTGAGAAAGGGAACCTCTCAAATGGCAGTTCTGCTCTCTCTAGAGATTTCCATGGGATGATGCCAAAGCCATTTATAAAAGAGATTATTCTGTATTCTATAGCTATCAGGAGGAATTATTATAGCACTGCAATTTCTATAGAACCCTATTGGTTTCATCCTTTTAAATCCTCTAAATTTCTTCTCTAAGGTCATCCCTTACTGCTTTTCATTCCAACTGGTATGAATCAACTTATGTGTGCTATGACATGGCACCAAACCCTTACCTAACATTTTTCATCCCACAGCACTTGACAAAGGAGGCGCCTCTCATTATACTGACTTGACTTAGGTGAGGAAACTGAAGATGAAAAATGGCCCTCTGGACCCTCTTCGCTTACTCAGACATCAAGAGAATGCTACAGAGACTTACAGCACGAGCACTAGAACTAGCACTGAAAGCTCAGTCCCACCTACTGTAGTTATGGAAAAGCATAATGTTAAGGCACCAGCTGTAAATTTATTGTCCAGTGCAATTAAACCCTGTCTTCCTTAGCTTTCTCAACTAAAATACCAAATGCATACAGGGTCCCATTGGCCAATAATGCTGTGTGATAGCGTGAACTCTCTTTTGTGCCCATTATAATCTTTTCAACAGATACTTTCATGGTCAAACAATAATCATTAGCCATATATAATGTATTTCATTCCTGTAAATGTACCAGCAGAGCACAATAAATTATTTCTTTTTTTAAAAGGCTAGAAGCAATGCAGCAAGACAGGTTTGTCTACCCACCACATTTTGTTCCTACGTTTCTGGCACAGGAGTGCATCTGGTATCAGATACTCTTATGGAGACGCAAACAGTAGGTTAATGTAAATATCACAGAAAAGATGTTTTGTGTTACTATTATGTGATATAGAATATCTATTCAGGGTATGGGGTGACCAGCTGTCCCAAGTTTAGAGAGAGAGTTTTATATAGTTGCCTATTATTCCCCACCCCCATCCTGATTGTTCACATGTGCTGTCTAGTCCCCTTAGATGGGGAATTAGTTTCTTGTGCAATAACAGAAGAGTTTTTAATGTTTTTATTTTTCTCTTTGTGGGTTAAGGTGGGAGGAATGGTTGCCCAACTACATGGGCTAATCAAAAGATTTTTCTAGTTTCCTAAAAGAAAAAAACAGTGTGAACCCAAGTGAGAAATATTTGGAGATGGCTCCCTGTGAAATGGTAAGAAAATATGCGTTTTGGCAGTTTCAGCTGAATACCTGATCTGAACCACTCCTGAAGGAAGGAGAAGGAATGAGGAAGTGTGTTTGCGGTCACCAGTTTCTCTGTCCATGACATCCAGTACATAATTACAGGGCTACATTTCAGCTAAGTTAGGACAAATAAACTAACAAGAGTTTTATTCCCCACATGTTTCTTATTCAAGTGTGTTCAGTTATAAATAGTTGGCTCTAATGGTATTTGCTTAGTCAAACAGAGCCTCTCCTAAGTAGTAATAATACATTGTATTCCTATTACAAGCCACTGAACAAGATTATCTTATTCTGACTGAAGAATTCTTTATAGTAATTGCCACCTGCAGTACAGTAGATTTCCTAATAATTGTGTCCATCCCCGCATCTTTCTGAAGGCCACAGTGGTTATGCTAGAGCCAACATTCTAATTTTCATCTCCACAGTACGTTGCAACTTTTATTTATTCTGTGTGCAACATGCCCATGGGAATGTTATTATCCCCAATGTTATAAATGGAAAAGTCATAGCATGATTACTGAGAGCTCAGACTACAACACAGGAGTTCTTGGGTCCTAAGCACTTTACCCATTCCATAAGGCATGGGTTAACTTCCTGCCTGCAGATGCCCACACAGGACTCCCATTGGCTTATCTAGGAGCATGACCATTTTAGAGTTCTCAGATTTGAGCTGAGCTTCTA